CTTATTCAAACTTGTTCCAATCATCAAAATGCCTCAAGCAACATCAAATTACCCAACACACATCGAATTAAAGCCTAAGTTTCTAAAAATCTTCCGAAATACGCTTTCGATAAAAAATCCAACAAAATCACGTCCGAATGATCTGAAATTATGCACACACATCCCAAATGACACAACAAAGCTGCTGCAACTCTCAGAATTCCATTTCGACCCCCGGATCAAAATCTCACCTACCAGCCGGAAATCGCCAAAATATCAACTTCGTCAATTCAAGCCTAATTCTACTCCGAACCTCCAAAATCCATTCTGATCACACTCCTAAGTCACAAATCACCTCTCGAAGCTAACCGGACCATCGAAACTCATATCCGAGCCCTCTAACTCATAAGTCAATATCCGGTTGACTTTTCCAACTTAAGCCTTCTTAAAAGAGACTAAGTGTCTCAAACCTTATCAAAATTATTCCGGATTCAATCCGACTAACCCGATACCTCAAAACACAGATGAACAAAGCAAATAGGAGCAGAAATGGGGAAAACGGGCCGGTAACTCATGAGACGACCGGCCGGGTCATCACAGGAACTTGGCCCCAATTTTCACATGGACACATAAAATTTGGCTCTTTTCTATTAGGCACGCGAACATCCTCCCATGTGTGACAATTAAACATAGACTGTTGACCTGTAATATAGCGTGAACTTTAACAAAATAGGCGCGTGAAGGTTGATTTTTTGCTGACTTGGAGAATTTCAACGTTAAAAATGCGGATTCTTTATAATCGTTTTCCCTAACCCGTAAATCTACCATATTTTCCCTAAAAAAATTCTAGGTCGTCTCTAACATAGGAAATCAAAGATTTTCTCAATATCTTTCTCTTGTTTCATACCAGTAACTGAAGGCTCAAACAAGTAATGATTTTCTTCTGTTTCTTTCTTCCTTTTCTCTTTATTATTTTGTGACTCGATGTAATTGGCAGTGGATTGGTTTGGTTCAATTTCGCAAAGGATAATAAATTTGCATAATGGACCGATTATTTGTCACTGTGGGATCAATGCTCTATTGATCATGGTAAGAGAGAACCCAGGTCATTGATTTTATCGCTGTAGAATTGACGAAGTAAGCACATGAATTTATCTTCATTGTTGAATTGTTCTTCATTATTTGCTGGTTTTACAAATTCTTTCTTTTTTTGGTCTTTTTTTCACATGAGAAGGATGGATGCAAATCTTTTATGTGGTATGAACCTTAATTTCCAGATCAAGCTACAAGGGTGATATGGGAGTAGTTGAAGAAGATCAAAAATAATGATGCAACTGAACTTAATGCTAAAAGGTGAAAAAAAATATTTCTTGGTGTTAGTTATGATATTTATATTGTGGGTTTGGAATAGTATTACTGGTTGATCGTATTGGCTACAATAACAACACATTGTATTCAGTATCACTGGTTGTAATTGGAATGGTGTCACTGTTGTAATTGGAACATAAAGTGTACCAAAATTTTGGACTATGTATTCAATCAATGATAATGGTATTTTGGGTCTATTTTACATGGCTTATACTATATTTGCCTGTTGCAAGATTTGTATAAATGTTGTTGATAAATGATGCCAATACAAAACCAAAATACAAATATATGAAGGTTGATATGTATAAGACCAATCTCATAAAGAGCTTCAAAATAGGTTGTTCATGATGCCAATATAAGTCCAAAATACAAGAGCTAAAGCACATGATGTCCTTGAAGCCAATATAAGAACTAAACCAAAGGCTAATCATGTAGCCACCAATACAATACAAAAAAAAGTTTTTATTCAAGAAGTCATTACTACATATCCAAATACTTAACTAAATAAGCACCTAAACCATATTAAACAATGAAGTCACTTGGTTCCACTCCTTTGGCTTGACAGAAAAGATAAGGATGTGTCTTCTTGACTGGAAGTCTTTGTAGTCCTTGATGTACTTATCCGCTAGAGTTGGTTAGTTGTTACTGCTTGTCTGCCATTCCATTTTAGAATATGCGGTTTAAATCTAATATCTATATTGGTTTCAGTTGTATTCTTCAGAGATCTCCCATGTGATATCACTCTTTCAGATGGATTACTAGACTGAAAAATATCATATATTAGTCACAGTTAATATAAAATATAAAATAAAATTTGCTTCAAATTATTGTTTCGTATATTCAGAACAGTTGCTCCACCCACAGTGTTTGTATATATCCCAAATCCTGCAGGTCTCAGCCTCTTTTGTCTAATGTTAGTGGATTTGCCTTCTTGACTGGTTTTAGATCCTCTTCCTCTAGAAGTAGTTGTTTGGAGTGCTCCATTTCTTAAGCCAATACCTCTCCCTCTTCTCATTTCCCTGCCTACACCAGTTGGTTGTGTTGGATTACATTTGATGACAACAGTTGCATCATCACAAATTGACAATGGAGCAGGTTGTCTTTGTATTCTTGGCTGAGTTGGCTGCCCTATAGCAGGGTGCAATCGTAAAACACTTTAGACTTAATTGAATCATATATTATCTCTATTTGCAGGCTCTCTTATTGTGTCCTACGTGATGACATTTTGCACATGTCATCTTCACCCCTTTCTTGGACAGCCATACTTTGCATTTTTGGGCTCATACTTTGCCTTTCTCCTATATTTTTTTGGTATACCTGGCATTGATTTTGGCTTTGGAGGCTCAATAACTAGATTGTTAGATTCTGGCCACATCTTCATATTGGGCCTAGGTTGAAGAAAATACTTGTAAGCCTTTAGGATTGTTTCTTTTCTATACCAAAATTCAACATGTTCTGGCTCTTGTTTTAAGTGATAGTATGAACAATCAGCATGTTAACATGGTATTCCCCTCAACATCTAGGATCTACAAGTACAAGTCTTTGCCACTATATTAACAATAAACCTCTTATCACCTTCTCCAATCTCAAAACCATCATGTACATTATATCTTACTTTACATCTCCTAGACAATTTCTTGTTCTCCTCTAAAATCATCCTTACTATTGGTGAAATGTCACTTATCCAAGTCTCCGCAAAGTTCCTCATATCATTATTTCTATTCATTTATTGTGTCTGATTTCCTCCAACATCGTTATAATTGACTTATGTCTAGGTCCACTATCCAAGAGTTAAGAATTTCACATATATTGTTCTTAACAACATCACATTTAGAAAACTCACTAAAGTTAGCCTTGCACCAATATTCTTTATTGTACTTCAATAAGTCTTCACACAGTTTAAGACCACCTAGTAAACCCAAAGCATATAACTCTTCCTTGAACTTTACCTCATATGTTGATTTGGCACATCTCCAGAATTGGTTTTTCTTTCTTCACCTCTCCAATTTTGAGCCCAATTGGACCAAGTATGTCTTGTACACATTTTGTATTTAGCAAATGATAGTAACTCTGCAACTATTGGGACAATTCCCTTCAATAATAAGTAAAAACATGCCTAACAATGAATAAACCAGGAATAAATGAAGTAAAACAACAATTTGAAATAGAAATACACTATCTTTTGCATTTCTGATATCATTGTTAATCCAATTCCATTTTCCATATCCAAATGTAATTTCAGCAAGTTGATAAACCATATCCAAGAATGCTTGGTCTCTTGGTCCACCACCACCCATGCTATGGGAAACATAGGTTGATTTTCATTCTTTCCAATTGCCACTAATTATACCTTTGCATGCTCCTTTTAAAAAGCAGTCATCAAATCCAATAATCTTCCTACATCCTTCTACTATCCCTTCTTCAAAGCATCAAAACAGATGTACAAATATACAAATAAATTCTTTCCAGGTACAATATGTGTATCTATTCTGAGCCAGCAAGTGCTCCCAGGATTAGTCTCCTTGATAATATCAGCATAATCGCACAATCTTGCAAATTCCATCTTCCAGCTCCCCCTAAACTCTTTTATAACCCTACATTTAACCCTATAACAAATAGTTTTTTCAACATACAAACGAATCTTGTCTCTGATAGGATCTTGTAACTCCCACAGTTTTATATCAGATATAGATATATTTTTTTTCCTAAATTTGTATGCAATATATTTAGATGTGCATAACCTATTCTTGGTGTACTTATTGCATTTGTGCTGTGGATGGTACCTATTTATAATGAAGTCATCAGAATCTCTGTCTTTGCTTGCATACAGTGTTCATTTGCATATGTCAATTCTGCACTTCACAAGCACTTTATGGTTCTCATTTGGTTTTAATTTCAGCTGCACCTTGTACTCAATAGCATAATTGGTCGTTTCCTTCCTAAACTCTATAGCATTTTCAAATACCATCCCAAGTTCAAAAACAGTAACATGTCTAACCTTTTTGCTTCTCCTTCTAGTTGGTAAATCAACACTCCTTTCAGCTTCAACATCTAACTCATCCTCAGAATTATCACTTCCTAGGTCTAAACTACCAAGATAGTCCTCATCCCCACCTAAGTTCCCTGCATATTTGTCTCTCTTATTTATGCCAATGTCTTCAAACCCTTTATCTAGCCCAGCTTCTCCTATTGGTACTTCATGTGTTGTAGTAGATTTTTTTTCTATTTTTTTCTGTTGTTTTTTACTCCTTCTTTCATTTCTTAGTTCTCTTAACTCTTCATCAACCTCACTATCATCAATATCAGGTATGGCATCCAATTCAGACTCACTACTATCCAGATCTGATAGAAGATCAAGATATGTTGTATCTTCAATCCCATCTAAGTCTTCAAAAACTATAGCAACTTCTAGTGTCAAGACCTCTATTGTTGGGGCCCCTTCAACCACACTTAGGTTATCTTCAGCAGGTACTTTTGTACTTATATTGTTTGACCCAACATGTGCTGCCTTAGACCTAATACTAATAATTGAAAAGTTTGGTCCATACGGTCCACATTAGAACCACATGGGACCACCCCTTCCACTGCAAAGGATCATAATAACATGCTCATAAATAAGTTCAAATACTGTAAAGGTTTAAAAGGAGAGACAATATTATAAAGTTGAGGGTCTTTTTCCAACAAAACAAAGTCTTTTGTCTCTTGGTTCAAAACATTGAAACCACCAACAGTATTGTACGCATGATCTTTAGAATAAAACTGCAATTCAACCAACAGAAAGTGATCTTCTTCACTACCGTTGATTTCCACGTCTCATTCATCTACGTATTTTGGCTTGGCTTCATTGGTAAAAGTACCACCATGGTGAAATCAGCTTGAATAAATTCACTAGACATGAGAAAGATTTTCACTGCAAAACAAAATAAAAGGACAAAATACCAAGCTCAGATTCTATCAATCAGACAAAAAATCCTAGTTTTTTAAGGAAAATTTCAAATTCACCACTATAACTAAAATAATCATAATTATAAACAATATACAAGCTTACATGTACTTAAAAACATTGATTATTCCTGAAAATTAGTAGCTCATTAACATGGGCTTCTAGATTGTATACATGTAACTGACCCCTCAAGAAATATCTCACGTAATAGTCGGCTAAACAATGAAATACACTAGTAAGGATGGAAGAAAATTAAAATGGAAGAAAATTAAAATAGAACAATAATCGACCTACATTTTTTAGGGTTTTATGGTGGGATCGTATAGAAGACAGGGAGATGGGTTAATAATCGAGTTTGATTTAGCATAAAAATGAAGTGAGAAAATTTGTTTTAAGGCAAATACAGCTTATCTGGACTACTTAGACACGTGGAGGATTTTTATTAGCTAAATATTACACATCAGTCACGTTTACATACACGCTTCTAAATTTTAATACAGGATATCAGGTCTGTGTTTAATTGGCACACATGGAAGGATGTTTGCGTGCCTGATAGGAAAGCGCCAAACTTTACGTGTCCGTGTGAAAATCGGTGCCAAGTTGCGATGCATGTCTATGTATTTGGCCTTTTTTTTAGTTTTTCATCCGGTGCCTACCCGCATTGGAACCCGAGTATATTCAAATTCGCACCGCGTAAGACCACATACAGGGGAAAGCACTCCCTAGCAAAGATTTTTCCATACCCAAGGCTCGAACCCGAAATCTCTAGTTAAGGGAAAAGCAACCTTATCCGCTAAGGCTGCCAATGAAGCAAAAATTGCTTTTCTCACATGCTCATTTAAGCTTTAGCTTATGTTCCATCTACTCCATAACAATCAATCTTACTACGTGACCCTTTCTTAAGGGGTAACAGTTCTACAGCTGTTCTTTTTTCATTTTGCTCCCTTGGAATGTATCCACTTAAAAAGTAGCTATCAACAACTTTCCTTCCAATCCATTGGGGGGAGGAATTTACCTTCATACTTTTCATCCCAACTGCATTTCAACATGCATCTCTTCACGCTCAACAAAAGTAAATTCAATAAGATAAATTGAATATAAAAAGAGCAGGTTGTTGGAGAAAGGTTGTTGCTCCTTTTTGCATCCTAGTATCCTCCCAACAATAGTAGAAGCGCAAGCAAACAGCAACAACTACAATAAACACAACGTAATCCCATAAATGGGGTATAGAACTTACCCCTACCTTATAAATATAGAGAGACTATTTCCGATAGACCCTCGGCTCAATGAACAATAGAGATAAGATAAAGCAATCAAGTAGCAAACAATGGTGACACCAATGTAATATAGTGACGAGCGCGAATGACACAGCATGTAATAATAAAGAACCATGACTAAGATAATACAAAAATAGTCCTAGTACTACTGGTAAGCACACTACTAACTGTCAGCTTACAACCCTAATCCTCGAACTCCACACCTTCCTATCGTGGGTATATCCTCGATAAGATAAATTAATAACACGTCCTGCCTAATAAGCTCTCCCCAATACTTCTTAGGCCTACCCCTTCCGTTCCTCAGACCCACCATGAACAGCCCCTCACACCTCCTGACCGGTGCATCTATGTCTCTCCTCTTCACATGCCCGAACCATCTCAACCTTGATTCCCACAATAGTAGAAGCAAGCAAACTGTAGTAATAGCACAGACACAGCAGTATCCTACCAACATTAGTAGAAGCAAGCAAACGGTAAAAAGTCAGAACATTCAATTTTCCAGTTGTCAAGGCAACAGGAAAAAATGGAATGCATTGTCAATAATTCATAAAATTCTGTAATTTTCACCTAAGAAAGTCGCAGGCAGGCCGCGAAATTAATGACAAAAGGAAAGTCTTTCGCTGAAATTAATCAGACTCACAACTGAAATGCAGTTGAATGGAGCTGGACACATTCGTTTAAAGAGCATATTTGCTACTTCTGCAAAATTAAGGTTGAAATTTACAAAATAAATAACTCATTACATGGACAAGTAACACATTCTATCCGACCGAAAAATAATCACCAGAACAAAGCAGAAATCTTAAATGCAGCCAAAAGCTGGTAAAACAAACAGGAGAGGGAGAACTACAGCCAACTAAGATGATCTGCAGAATGCACAGGATCTGATAGCAAATACATCTCCTTTTAGTGTTTAGGCTACAGAGTTGAAGTTCTAGATTTTCTCATCTTTTCATCTTGTGAAGCAGTATGTGGTAACGAGGAAGATGAAATCGCGGCATGGTAAGACGAAGATGCTAGCTGAGCAAATGCTGGAACAGCACCACCTGTACGGTTTCAACCGTGGAAAGCATGCCAAATGGAACAAAATAAAGGAATAGAGCCAAGGTATCCAAACTCACAGTCTAGATAAAATAATAGGTAACAAAAACGAGTTTTTGTTCCACTGGAGGGAACTTCTTGGATCTCCCTCCTATCGAAGAAACCAACACAAAGGTACAAGCAGACAAAAAATGAAAGTGGAATCCAAGGTTTTCTTTGTCAAAATTCAAATTTCCATTATCATCTCATCCTAGTCCAACCAATACGATATGAATAAGGTTCAAATCGTCAAAGGATTTCATGAGACAGATCTAGCTGAGGATTGCCATAATTCAAATTAGTTACAGGAGCAAAGGAAGAAAAAAGGATCATTTCTGCTGCTCCTTGGCATATCCTCTTCATCCTTTCTAAGAACAAACTGATTCCAAAAAATAAATACTACTCCCTCTGTTTCAATTTAGATGACACACTAATATGTTCAGCTTAGGTTCATCTGATATTCTGATTAATGGAATATTTAGAGTCGTTGTAATGAAAGCTTTTCTACTTTATTGGTGCTTTCAGTTTTACATAAGAGAATTAACCATCTTACCAATCTGCCAACACTAAAACCTACAATTTTCTTCATGTTCTTAGCTTGATGTACTCACCATGAACAATATAACTTGCTCTCATTTTATGCCGATCCGAAGGCAACGAAAGCCCTAAAATTGTCCTCCATCAATGCTACTAAGTACTCTCTTCTAATTATTCAAATATAATGAACATATTAAAGTGAATAGGCTATTTCACAGAAGGCTTTAAAACTCTGTAATAGAATAGACAATCATAAAGGTTTGAAAAAGTTCAAACCTGCTAGCCCTGCACATGCAGATGAGAAAACTATCACAGGAGGGGCCTGCATAAACAAAAAGAAAAAGTGAAAATATAGCAGGTAAACCACCAATATAAAAGTGAGAGAGACAGACAGCTAAAGAATAGGAACGAGTGAATCAAATCCCTTTTTGTCTGATAAGGGAGTAAATCTATCATGTTTTTACTTTACATGTTCTATACTTTTGTCATGTATGTAAATATACTTTACTATAGTGTAAAACACTTATGACTCAAGGTTGTGTTTGATGATAGAATTCAGAAAATTGGCACATTAGTATAGTGCTTTAAAATTTTGCCGTAGCAATGAATGCTAGCACCTATAAGCTTTCAGATACATCATTAGAAGTTTCTTCTGGGTCTCCTTAAACACTCACATATTACAGCATAAGGAAGTAGGAAAAAAGAATAACTTACACCAACAAGGAAATGCAACCACATAGGTCCTTTATCCACCTTCTAACGATCGGCATCACTGCAAGCAGAAGAATGAGATATAAACAGGACTTGTCGGTTAAGATTAACATGATCGTCATACAAGCAACATTGTCACCTCACTGTGGATTCCAGATGCACAAAACACGAGTATAGTACTTGGACAAAAGTTAGCCCTCACAGATGAAGATATCAGTATCTTTTACTCATTTATTTCCACAAAGAATTCAAATTCAAAACGATTGATAGTATGCCGGACCAATACCCAGATGGGTGGAGTTATTTCATGTTACAGCATGGTTTGGTTGTCACATGAAGCAGAGCATACAACAACAACAACTAAGTCTTAGTATCAAGCTACTCGGAGAGACGGAGACAGCCATATGAATCCCCGGTATCCATTTGCTCCATATAGAGAAAATTATAATCAACATAGAGCATTTAACCTCAGAAAAAAAAGTATATAAGTGACACGGAAAACCGGTTAACAAGAAGAATCGCAAATGTTAACCAAATACAGAAAGTAAGGATGGTCAAAACACAGGTTCATACCATGGTTGAACCCATAGAATGCACTTGTAGTCCCACCAACCGCAGAACCAATCTGAACCATTAAGTAGGTAGTTAAGTAGCGGGGAAAGAGCGATGAATTAGGACAAGCAGATTCAGAGACAAAACAGACGATTTATGCAATACATTTCCTATTGGCGATTTCAAACGGGGATTTCAGATTTACATTTAACACATTGAAACTCCTATTCTTCTTTTGTCCCTGTAAATCTTATATGGTTAAACAAAAATGTGTATATTAAAACTAGTAGCAGTATGATGTAGCATATAGTCAATGGGTTCAACAGATCTCAATATTTTCAATATGGAAAATATATATAGATATAAGAAAATTACTATTTTTTTTTAAATAAAAAAATGAACTTATAATTCCAAATGTGCAATGGGTACGCAATCGTAAAAATTAAAGGTTGAACCCGTAAAATTTATATTCTGGATTCATCACTTCTTAATAGTGCACCCATCATAAATAGTGCACCCATAAAAATCAAAGAAATCATTATATTGACCATGAAAGTTTTTTATATGTATAAATTGTAAGGAGTAACTCTTTGTAACTTTCCAAGGTAAACCGCTAAAGAGATACTATAAATCACCCAGAAGAAAATACAAGCAACACCTTTACCTTGGTCTCTAGCAGACCAGGCATCTGAAAGCTAAAGAGAAAATTTGTATAAGTATTCTTCGGTGAAATTTTTTTTAAAAAAAAGAACAAATTACCGTCAAAATCGACAACAATAGTTGAATAGCCCCATTAGCCAACCTCGAGATAGAGAGTGCATGGGGTGAAATGATTAACTTAAGACCGTCCTGGCACTTAGGTGTTGAACAAAAGGGATGTACACTAGAACAACTTTAAGCCACTTAGAGAGCAAATTTCCAAAAAGCCCGAAGCAGGACGGAGCACCTCAAGAATTGCAGATCAAATGCTAGGAGAGGTAACATCTATCTGATGG